AAATTTTTTAGTATACCCTCTAAGTAATTTCGATGTATGCGAAGATGAATTAAAGTGCATTCGTACTCTAGAAAAGAATTATCAAGTCGTAAGATTAATAGTTCAGCGCAACAATCTTTAGATAAATAATTTTTTTTAGAATAATTTGTAAAATTTATATTTTATAACGAATTTATTTTGTATCATAAACCGAGTTTTGATAAGCCGATCCTATTTTTGTGATTTCCCAAAAGTTCGGTTTATCGAGGTTTGAATGTAATAGCTGGATAATATTATAATAATAATCAGACTATTTCCGTGTTGATTTTTCTAATTTTCGCGTAACTTTTGTAAATCATTATTTTCAAAAAAAAAAAAAAAAACAAGGATCTATGATAACGATCTGAAAGAATTGTTATGCGACTATTATTATTATTGTTGTTGTTGTTGTTGTTGTTGTTGCTGTTGTTGTTAAATTCTTTCTTTTTACAGTTCATTCTTTCTATAACGAATACTAAGTAAAATCCCTCTATAACAAACTTCACTTTTGTCCTCGATTCATTTTTTTATAATTAATTTTTCTCTCTATAATCTTAGTAAACACTCTCTATAACGAATCAAAGTAGAAAAAATCACATATAGGCGAAAGGTCCATTATAAAGAGAGTGAACAACTCTAGCAAGTAGGAAACTATTAATAAGAATCCCATGTAATAAATAAATGTTCAAAAATAATAATGAATAAGGTTTCATCAATAAAAAATCCACAGTCAAATAAAGGCCAACGTAAAGATCCATATTAATATAACGAGAAAGTCCTGGAAGAATTAACGCTATACGCTCTGTATGCGATTTGTACCTTTTTACGCATTTTCATAAATGTGGTCTTAATACCTTTAAATATTATGGCATTTTACCAATAGGTGTGTATCACTTTCTCTATTTTCTTTAGTGAAAGAGCAAGGTGTATATATGCTTTTCTTATAATAAAAAAAAGTAAATAAACTAACTTTAATAATTTAATCTCTACGAAGGTTGTAATTTTCTCTTTGATCTTAAAGTTGAAACAAAAGAAAATAGATTGAAGAAGGGTCTAATTAATAAAATGAATGGAAAACGTTATTATTTGTAGAGCAGTTTTTTTATATTCATACTTCACATATATCATTCATAATAATAAATTTTTATTTTATATATTTTGGCTAAAAATTATGCAATTAATTTATGCGTACAACAAAAATTAATTTAACTATATACCATATTAAATATTAATATTAATACGGGAAATGTAATTAACCGCAACCCGATCCAATTTTTCTATGACGCAATTAGTTGCAACTAGTTACAATTAATTTTCGTAAAATTTTGTAGTATTTTCTGATATACATGTAGTAATAATTCGTCATTTCTGGGAAGGTCTAGATTTTAAATGATGATGTGTATCATACAAATAAAGCCTTTTTATATACCAAACTTGATTTTGATTGGTGGGTTGGGTGCGTGTTATCCTTATTTAGAAATTGATTGGCGATTTTGCGGATTTTTTTTTGCGGAAAAATGAATATTAATTACTTTCCTACAGTATTTATTATTTTTCATTTTTTAAATCTGTTAAAAATTTTTTACATAATGTCATTTAATAAGTTGTTATTACCAGAAAGGTGGGAAGTTGTATTTAAAATTAATAGTGAAATGTATAATAGTGCTCTGATTAATTCTGATAGAGAAAATAGAAAAGATTATTTTTTTTCATTAGTCAAAGAAAAGGAAGAACTTTCTAAAGCTGAAAAAAATTATTGTAAAGAAAAGTTTGTTTATGATATTGAATTAAACAATGCAATACATAAAAAGGGAAAATCAAAAGATTGTAACAAGTGCAAGTCAACAAGATACTCTGATAAATTCTGTGAAAACTGCATTAGTTTACAATTACAGAAACTTTTCACTACTTGGACATCTGGCAATAACATTATTGACCATTTTATCCAAAGATGTCAAATGAATTCTTCTTTGCCAACTTATATTTTAGAATGGATACCTTTTGAGCAATTTGATGATATAACAAAATTGACAGAAGGTGGGTTTAGTTCAATTTATACAGCTATATGGACAAGAGGAAGAATAACTGATTATGATGAAGATAAAAAGAAATTCAGTTATTTTGGAGAACAAGAAGTAGTATTAAAAAGTTTAAATGATTCATGCGATCCAGGAAAAGGCTTTTTTGATGAGGTTTGTAGTTGTCATTTAAAACAATACTGTATTATATAACACTAAATGATTTTATATTCAATTTTAGGCAATTAATTATTCTAGAATTAAATCAAATTTAATTGTTCCTTGCTATGGTATAACTAAATTTCCAGATAATGGAAATTATGCAATTGTTTTAACTTATTTATCTGATGGAAATTTAAGGGGTTATTTACAAAAAAATCATTTAAATTTAACATTAAAAGATAGAATTACAATGTTTAAATATTTATGTGATTCATTATATCACATACATGAAAAGGATTTAATCCATTGTGATTTACATAGTGGTAATTTATTAATGAGTGGTGGAAATTGTCACATTACTGATTTAGGATTATGTGGACCAGTTGATGAAAAATCATCAGATAAAGTCTATGGAATTGTGTCATATGTTGCACCTGAGCTACTTAGAGGCAATAACATGAAGAACACCAAAGAAACTGATATCTACAGTGTTGGGATGTTAATGTGGGAAATATTTGCAGGTCATCCACCATTTGATGATAGAGCTCACAATCATCGCTTAATCTTTGATATATGTGCAGAAGGTTTACGACCACCAATATTACCTGAAATGCCTGGAGACTATGTACAAATGATGCAGAGGTGTTGGGATGTAAATCCATCCAACAGACCAACTATTAATGAGCTTTTTGAATTTGCTAAAGAAAAACTAGAGGATATCCCTAAAAATGATATTACAATTTATGTTACCAATTGTGATAATAATTCACATCCATTAGCATATCATAAAAGTAGAATATTGGATGAGGAAATTGCTAAATCCAAAAGCTTCAAAGTTTCTACAAGTAATGATAGTTCATTAAACAATATTGATCTTAACACTTTTTTTTTTTGAAGTGTTGATTTTAAGAAAGGTGAATCAAATTTCATTATTAATTAATTGGAATTTATTATCCATTAATTATTACTAACAACATTTTATTCCCATTTAATTAATTAGGGATTGATGAGCTTGATGGAGATTAAATTAATCATCCATTGTATAATTCACTACTATTAATTTATTCATTATATTCATTAATTAATTGATTTGTCCTTTCATTTTTTATTTTATATTTGAAACAACAGATTTTTCACCATTTGTAATTTTTGCCTTTGAGCAGATAAATGTTAAATATTTTGAAAGATTGATTGGACATTTTCTTTTTGAGTTTTCTTTTAATTATTTTATCTCATGTTACATATAATGAATGCAAGCATTGTTGAATCCATATAACATATCAACACATTGATGTTATATTATCTTCCAACAGATTAATAGCAAAATATAAAACTTCATAACATAGGATGAATTTACATAGTCATTAGCTATATAAATGTGTAGTTATCCACAAAAAAATATCTGCAAATTTTGCAGTCAGTACTGTATGCTTTTGCACTGTATGATCTGCAACAGTTGGTAGACATTCAGTACTGTACACTTTTGCATTCCTGTACTGTATGATATGCAAATTGGTATTTCTGTATTAATTTTTAATAGTACAAGTACAGAATTAATGTGTATTCAAAATTTGATTGGTGGAGGGTGTTGTGTACTGAATGATTTTTTCAATTTTGTAGACCATACAGTACAGTAATGCAAAAGTGTGTATATACAGTACTGAATGTCTATATTCTCCAAATTTTGTGATAAAATAGAACATTAATATTTATTATATCTGTAAAATTATTCATAAAAAAGATATCTGAATTAGCAGTTCAAAATCAATTCATATATACTGTTTAAATGTATAGCTTGCTTAATATTAATATAATGTTTCTGAATTAATAAATAATAAATATATATCATTAATGGACAGAAGGATTTGCAGGTTTATTTTAGTAAATCTTATTTTTAGGCATTTTCTTAATGGTGACATTAATTCAATTTTTAACAATTTGCAAGATGATTAATTTGATTTTTTCTTAATGTCAGTCATTTGATTTTTAAAAGGTTTTGTTGTAATTAATACTATAAAATAGTAATTTTTACATATACACAGGAAATCAATAATAAACCTGGAAAGTTGCACACTAGTGGTTGTATCCACTGAATGATACTCACCAATTATTCACTGATTATCTGGTTAATCAAGTGCTGAAAAATTTTCATTGATTAATTAATTGGGTGTTGAAAATTTTCATTGGATAATTGGTGAATAATCAGTGGTACAGAAATATAAAAAATAAAAATTTTATCCAAAGAATACTAATACATTAAATACTATTTTATCCACTATTACACTATCACCAACATTCTTCTATTACAATAATATATCAAGTAATATGAATACCAACTGTGTCATTATTATCTAAAGAATATTTATGCATTGCAGTAACTTCTACTCCAAACGAATGTCTACAGCCAAACCTTGTCACAGCAGACTGACTATAATTGAATTCTTGTCATAATGGATTTTTAAAATTTTTGCTTCATATTCACATTAAAATATAGAAACATAAAAATTAATCTTGCCACAATGGGTTTTAAATAAATCTTCATTCATCCACTGTGTCAAGGTTTGACTGTATTTAGTGAAGCTGGAAACACAATGACAGCTGAACCAATAAAATTGAATCATTATTATTTGTATTTCTTAAAAAAAAAAGTGCAATGTATTGAAAATATTTTTCCTGACAAATAAATAATTATTATAAATCAATGAATATTTGGCAGATATTGGTGAATGACCAATTAATGCTGTGGGCAAAATCCAATTTTTAGTTCCAAAATATTTCAGATTTTTAGCATTCATTTCCAAAATGGTGGGATATTTCCAAAATGGCGGAATAAGTCCAAAAGGGTGGAATAAATCCAAATATCTGGTTTGTCAGTGTGTGTCATTATTATCATTAATCACAACATGGAAACTATCAAAATAGTTTATTAGCAAATAGGCTTTGATTTGTGAATTCAATTTTTTAACCCAGGGTCATATGAAATGTAATATGCGTGATCCTCAAAATGTTAGAGGTTGGAATTGACTAATTAGTTGACTATTTTAGTCAACTAAATAACTTTTTTTTTTAAACAACTAATAGTCAACTAATACTAATTATAATTATTGTCTGGCCAATTATAAATGAAACCATTTTTTGTGGTACAAAAAAATTTAATGGAAAGTAATAAAAATAAATATGTGGAGTATCAATATTATGAAGAAGATGATAATGGTGGTGTTGGTGCTTGTGTTGGCGATAATTATCCATGTGAAATAATAAACATTGATACAAGGTCAAATCATTCCAACAATTCGTTGGCTTCAAGCTCAAGCAGTGGTTCCAGACCTTTAAAAAAACGAATTATAACATATAGCTTCATATGGAAGTATTTTGAGAAAATTAAAGATTCAAATGGAGATGAATTTGTAATCTGCAAATTAAAAAAAAACGTTAATAATAACAGAATGAATATTCTAATTAAATAGGATGTTATTCTGTGACTAGTACGACCATTTTGCGAAGCAAATGGTTACACACTAGTATTAAAAAAATTTAGTTGACTAAATAGTCGACTAAAAGAAATTTTGACCAACTAGTAGTCGACTAAGGATTTTTTGGACGATTCCAACCTCTACCCTGGAGTTTACCGAGACTGCACCAATCGTCAATGATGCTTTCACTAATCTTCCCTCACAGCACCCAGACCAGAGAAGGCTGCTGCCATGTTGGATGAAAAGTTACCTGCAATGATCCTGCCTCTAGTGTAAGGATGGCACTGTGACCAAGTCGCAACTCTGGAGGAATATTAAGAGAATCTGCAGCTTGTTTCAAGCTCAGGAGGTCACAATTCAGAGCAGGGTTGGTGGTCCTGAAATTGCATTTGGATTCTAATGTTAAGAGGGAAGTTGTAAAATAGTGTTTTGATTTGTATAATCATTTTAATAAATGCTCTGTTTTTTTGATACTAACCAATGTTTATAATTTTGGGTAAGGGACTGGATGGTTTTTGCCCAATAAGTCCTCTGTCCTGTAGGTTAAAATTATCACACGATTATATACATCTTTGTCAGCAATATGGCAACAAGAAAAAGAAAAAAGTTATAAAATGGTTCAAATTTTGGTATGTTATAATTAATCATTTTCATACTCTGCTTTTCTTTAATTTTTGTCTGAAAAACTGAATTTGTTATTTTAGTAAATGGGGGTAGGGTTGTTGGCGAACAGGCATGCCACTGACAAGACAGGGATATACCAGCCAAACTCATGGAAAGGGATCTTTTGTCCAGACTTTGGGTCACATGGATGTTAAGCACAGAAAATGTACATTATAAATGTATATTTTTTTCAACAAAATAAACATTTAAATAATTAATACTTTTCTTTTCATAAAAATTACAGCAACCCAGGACTCAAAACTCTGAATTCTGGGAAAATCCAGAACAGCACCACAGGTTGCAGCCTCCTGAGTTGCTGAATTTTCAACTAGTTGTAGGTGCCAACTTTGTACTGGAGGTGTATAACATACAGCAATCATCACACAAGCACCAGCTATCAGTGATCAATGCCCATATGATAACAGCCAAACTTGGTCTGAGGGATGTGATAAGGGAAAAGTTTTGTCCAAAGCCTTCCAACTTGTTTAAACCTCTTTCAACCGTGGAAAAAAAAATTACATGGTGTTGAATTGATGCTTTGCACGGAGTTTGCTTGTTTGTGATAGGAAATTTCAATTAAATCTGACCTGTGATCAACATCAGATTTATTATTCATAAGGAACCATAATTGATTATTGTGAGCCCCAGAGATCTGGGTAGACACAGTTTCATTTTTGCATGGCCTTGGTATTATTACTACTCAGGTGATGCAATTGTTTGTTATGTCAATGATGATATCAAATGTATTGCATGATCATCACAAGTATTGTAATACACATATCCAATTTATTGAGACAAATGAATTCATATTCGAGGAAAGGATTAAAAAGATAAGTAATGTTTATTTATTTTGGTTCAACTAAAAGAAAAACACAAAATGATTTAATTAGTTTATATATATTAAATATTAAAGGGTAAAAAAAAACCCTAGGGGAGCCTTCTATGGGAATACTAAATCTTTCCATTATCATTATTACTGCACTCACCTGCCAAAAGTATTTATTTTAAGTTTTAACATTAAAATTCGCAAATACAATCTTAGAAGTCAAACTACTCCTAACAATCAATAATTACATTTGATTATTCCTGGAGAATAATAACTTCCTACTTCATTCTTTCTATATTCACTTTCTTTTTTCTGTTCCTATATTTTATTGATCTTTTGATTTGTATATTTATATAAAATTACAATAAATAAATGCATGTTATATGAATATATCTTATGTTTCCCAGGGTGTTTAAAAATGAACTTATAAAGAAGCATAATTATTATGTGAATAAAATTAATGTTCTCCAGCATTACCCAACTTCCACTAATTAATGATTAAATAAATGTGCTCTAATGTGTATTATTACATGTGTAAATGTGTGTGTTATGTCTATTAAAAATAAGGTTGGTGTTGGCAACTGATTTTGAAATCTGTAACTGGTTGCAACTACTTAGTTGCAGAGCCACCTTTAATTAAAAATGCTTCTGTGTTAATTTATAACATTCTGAGTTACAACAAAAACAAATAACATAATAAAAATAGAACAACCATGAGTATTGTAGCATGGTGGACATTCAATTTGTGTTACAAGGGGGTAAACAACAAGTATCACAAAAATATTGAGCGTTTATTGGTTAATTATTTTTTAATATTAATAATATAATTAATATTAATATATAATGTTTAAATATCCGTTGTATTGAAATTATATATTGCAAGCCTAAGTTTTTGATCCAAATTGTTATCAAATGTTACATTAGGAATATCATTATCAATTGATGGATTATCATTTGAATTTTCATCATCATCATCATCCTCATTTTCATTCCCATTTTCATCTAATATAGATGTATTTTCTATATTTTCCAATCGTTGTATATACAAATTACCTAAAGTTTTAATTCCATTAATAAAATAATCTAAACAATACTGACATTTGCAATTTAATTCTTGAAAACATATATTATGATACGCATGACCACATATCAAAATGTTTGAATTACAATCCTCTCCAATATTGCAATCCTCATAATCACACTTAATATTAGGATCTGGTGGATTTGATGTATGATATCCTGAAGGTAATGTACAGAACTGAACTTCCAAATTAAATGTTGGTAAGATATATGTTTTCTTTTTGCCCTTTGGAATTATTTGCTCATTATTTTTATTTGCTAAAATTTTTTGGAAAATCCTAATAAAAATACTGCAGATTTTTTAACCATCATATCAATCTTTTTTTTTGTATATGGATATTTTTTTAAATTTAAAAATGGACTTAGAAATTCAGAATTATGACGCTTGAAATCTATTGTTAAAGCATCATGTCATAAACCATCTGGATTAAAATTTTTTTTTGGAGTATTTCTACTAAAGACTAGTGTGCCGTAATCCAAAAAAGGAAAAAGTATGGTTGCAAAAGTGGTCACAAAGGTAATTGCAACCACTTTTTTTCTGCCATAAATACAATTACTACCATCATCATAATTTACAGCACTAGTCTTTAATTTCTACGAACCAAACTATGAAAGTTTTCAATAAAATATTCATTAAATTCTGATAAATGTTCCTTCAGGATATCATACATAGGATGATCTATAGTTAGCCAATAAAATATATCAGAAAGAAAAGCAATCATGATTTTGTCATAATTTTTTCTTTTAAATCTCATCATTACCGTCCATAATCTAAAAATTGTTTCAATATATTCCTGAAAATGGCCTTCCCTAAATAATATTGCGTATACATCCAAGGTAGAAGGAATAAGACTATCTAATAATTCTAGAAATATTTGGTATTCAGTATTTCTAATTGTTTGAAATTTTATAATAATATGTTTTCTTATAATAGACCATCCTGAATAAGCCAAATGTAAAATCAAATTAATCATCCAAGGTTGTGGTGTTAAAGAAACATTTCATTGTCTTTGAAATATATCTTTATATAAAAGATTGAAAAATGGATAATATTTCTTAAATGTAGTTTCTTTGGTATTTAAGGAAACATGAAGAGGGCCTAATAAAGGGACAAATTTGATGATTTTATCAAAAATACCTGAATTTTCTTGATATCTTTGCCTTAGTGTAATTGCTTTCCATATAAAGTATTGTCCAGGGTAGTCAGCTGGAACTGGAATAATAAATTCAGATAAGTAATTGTCTATTAAAGGTATTTTTATAAACAAATCAATCAAATTTAAATAATCATCTAAAGATTTAATTCTTGTGGAATAAAATCCACAAGTTTAACTGTATCCATTTTATGTGTTTCTATATGATTAATATGTAGATCTGATTCGTAGTTATGAATAGTTAAATGATCAATTAATGAATCTTCTGTGAGATTTGATGAATCACTTATGCAAAACCATGATGATTTCCTTTCTACATAACTAATTCCAAAAAGTGAAATATAATCATTTGTTAAAACCCAAGATAGCAAATCTACATCAATATTGAGAGGATTGTGAAGTGGTTCATTCATATTTGAAAAATATGGTATTGGTGAAATCTTAGGTGTATGTATTGTGAGATCAAAATTCTGCATCTCACACAAATCTATTGATTCGGTTATAATATTATTTATCCCTTCCTATGGCAGTATCCAGTTGTGTAATTCTTTGATTACTTTCTTTCACTATAGCGCTCAAGCTATTTAATTATTTGCAGGGCAAGTTTTTTTACTTCCTTCCGGTAACGTTTTCTCAGCAGTTGCTATGTTTGCTGCCTGAGCCGGAACATGTCAATTATTATCTCTTCTGATAATAATCCCAGTATCCTCCTTGATACTGATGTGTTGTGTTTTGATGGTTCAATGTTTCTTAACTGACCGCACCTAGCTAGGGTTTCCACTTGTTTAGGCGTTGGTCTAATCTAAAAATAAAGAAAATAAAATTAAAGAAATATATACAACTATACTTATCAAAGGCGTCCCCCTGGTAAGATAGTAATTAATTTATTAATTACGAAAATGTAATTTTCGAAGATAACAAGGACAAGGTCAAGGTCAAGGACAAGGACAAGGACAAGGTTTATTTATAATAATATTTGAGTTTACTAAAAAAACTAATAAACTAATAAACTAAAGATTACATGAAAGAGAATTTTACAACGTATTTATACATTTTAGAGGTTCTATCATCTAGTTCTCCGATTTCTTTAAAATCCTAAATTATACTAATTAATGTATTCTTTAATCATTATTTAAACCTTCCATGTAGAATTATTTTCAAGTAATTTCTAGTCAACATGAGTCATGTAAAATTCTTTTGTTTAAATATTATTCTGAGACTTTGTAATTCGTTACATTTTAGAATGTTGGAATATTTATATTTCCAATATTTCCGTGAGTCAATTATTTTATTGGTGTTAATATTAACTGTTTTGATCACTTGATCAGTTTTTCCGATTTTATTTGCGTGTAACTTCGTAAATTATTTCCGATTTATATGTTCGTTTCCTGTGATTTATAATTTACTATTTTATAGTATCATAGTATTTGCCATATGAGCAACTTGGGATAGCTTTTCATCTGTTGGATTCCTTGATTGTTGGATGTCGTGGTAATCATCAATTAAACCTATTATAAGAGAGTTTATATTTTTTTCAATATATTCTTCTAAATTTTCTTTGTGTCTATTAACAATTTCATTTTTTTCTCTTAATACAGTTTTATATGTTGTAGTAATTCCACATTTGGAAAGTAAATTTATTCCAGCTGCAGAAGTACCAGTTGAAGACATATGTAATGCTAATTCTTTTTTTCCCAATGTTATTTGTTTGTTTCTTAGACCTACAATTTGATAACAAAGTATTATAATTTTTTTTTTTAAATCTTCTTGAGTTTTTTTGTTTTTTGAAGAAGGATTCATACTTTGATAAAGCATATCAAAAAACCCAATCAATTCCGAGTCTTTTTCCTCAATAATTCGAACAAACTCATCAGGATCATTAATTGGAGGTTTATTTTCTCTATGTTGATGATTATAAAGGACAGTTGACATTTTTTTTACTTGTTCATTAAAAAATTGTGAAAATTCAATCATATCTACGTAAAAAAAAAAATGACAATAAAAAAATAATATATATATAATTAATTTCCTTTAAAAATTTTTTTTAAATAAAACAAATTTACAATTACAAAAAAATAATTTTTAAATAAATTTTACAATTACCTTTAATCTTATCAACAGATGGCCTTGTAATAGACTCCATTTCTTGTTTTAAGTTATCTATACTGTTTTTTAAATTATCTATTTCATTTTGTAATTCTATTATTTCTGAAGAAGAAGATATGTTAGTATTTAATTTATTTAATTCTTTTCTTAATTTTTTTGTCGTTGGTAAATATGATTCCTGACTAGTATTAAGTCTATGTCTTTGATATTTGATGTTTCTATCCCGTTGAACCTTTGAGGTGTAACACTTTGTACAGAGAGAATCGCCTATATTAAGTTCAAAGCATCCTCCTCCTTCAGCTTTTCCTTTAGTAGTTTCATTTATTGTTCTAAAATATTCAGATTTAGTTTCTTTACAAAGCATCCATTGTTTAATTTTTGGCATTTTCACTATTATACACTGAAATCAAGGAAGGTCTGATCTAGTCTGATCTGACACGGAAAACGTTTTAAAAGATAAAGATTATAATACTGCAAAGTTTGAACACAGGTTAATTAGTGTTCGTCCATTCACCTTCCAAATGGGGTGATAGTACTTTAAAATCTTCAATTGAAATGTATATTGGTGATCGTGTAACATACGAATGTCCATCATGCTCGTTTATACCTGTGTTACGTTTCGTATAATCATTTTATTATTAATTAATCTGTAAGGGCGCTGACATATATTAGCTAATATCATTTTAATAGTAGCACTTACTCCCCCACACCCAGGTAAGACATTTTGATCACGTGCATGACAATAATTTGCCTTTTTAGGTATCAACAAAGCACAAGTGAAAAAAGAATTAATTTTATTAATAAATCAAATATTTTAAAAGCAACATTGGAGTAAATAAATTTTCCTTTATAATA